GTTTTTCATTTTGGTTCAACAACATCAGAACTCCAGTCTCAGGTCCTCGGTCTCCAGAGTAGGAGTGACCTGGATCACAGAGCAGGTGTTCTGTCCTTCTACAGCGTCTCTGGAACCATGACTCTCCTCCACAGAGTCCAGACCACATTCACTCAGCCTCTCTATGCTGGACTTGAGTTTTACTTTTATGGAGACACAGCAGAGTTGTGTAAACTGAAATAGACAGAAGTGAGTTCAAATGTGTGTTTGAGTTCCTAAGTGTATTTTGTGTCTTTGTGTTTGGTTGCTGAGTCATCGTCAGACTTTGACCTCTTCTGTTTCTTGTTGTGTTGATGTTGGAGTTTCTTTAGGTGGAGCTGGAGCCATGGAGGATATCACTGCTCAGGAACATTTGTGTTGATGTGTTTGTCTGTTGTTGTTTGGGCCTTAACAGAGAAATCACCAAGACCTTCCTTTATCACAGATGTATTGCTCTCATTTGTGTAAAGACAGAAATCTATAATTACATTTACATTTATGTGTTTGTCAGATCAAATGTTGTTGTTGTTTAAATCCACTTACAAATAAGATCTGAGGTTTTATCAAACTGTAACTATCATGATAATAATCAGTGAGGAGATGATTCATTATTTTCTTTCCCTCTCTGAGATTCAGGTGAAACAAACTGAATGTGGATGAAGTGAATCTGTTCATGAAACGAGAGTCATTGAACAGACTTTACTGACTCAGTGTGTGAACAAACTGAAGCTTCACGTCATGAATAAAGTTGATTTTCCTCAAGAATCAATCAAACATTTTCCTCTGTCTTCTTTCCAGGATCTGATTCAGAGCTGATGGAGAAAATGTGAAACTGATATGAGAGTATAATTCTCTTGGAATTAGAACAAAAAATAACATAAAAGAAAACAGTGATGAACCTGATTGAAGCTTTTAACTTCAAAAGTCACACTTGTGCATTGAACAGCAAGTCCCAACCAGGTTCATCACTCTTTAGATTCCCCTGGAAACATTTCCTGTTGTGTTGTTTGAATTTGCAGCACACCTGTTGTCAAATTGATATGATGTTTTCTGAATCTGCAGCGTGTTTGTGTTTATGTTTTCTGAAGGTGCGGTGTGTTGAGCTCTCAGCGCCAGCGTAAAAAATAACTACTTTACTAATCAGGAGCTACAGTGTGCAATTCCACAGATGCAGGTTGTTGAATAAGACTTTGCAGTATAAGTTGTCCATTCATTGGTCTCTCACATTTTATGTCTATATTCATTGATGCAAAATCTACATTTCGCCTGACACACACAGTTTGTCATAGATAAGTGACGCATTCAGCTGGTTTTGCACTGTTCAGGATGAGTTAGGAAACGTCTGGGCAGGACAAAGAGTTTCAGGCAGAGTTCTGGTGACCACGTTTATTTTCATTCAGGAATGTCAGAGCACAGTGAGTCGACGTCAAAGCTGCCTGAAGTTCACTGCAGTCAGAGGTGGACAAAATAACAGAAACACAGTTTAAACAGCTCTGCAGCCAAATATCTGTTTGGTCTCTCTCCCTTTTCTGGGAGATGTTCACACGTGTACAGATTTGCTCTTATTGTGACTGTGATGTTTAAATAGTGAGTCAGTGTTTGTGAAAGTGGCTTTTTGATTCAGGCTGGGTGGATGACGTTTAAAATGAGTAAAAAATATCTCAGAGTTGTGGTGATCATGACAGGATAGACTAGTTTGCAAAGTGTGAAGATATTTAGTATTAAAAAAAAAAATGTCTACAAAAGAAACATGCATCTTTACAATCGTACAAGAAACTTACCAAAATAAAATACAGAATGATTTGAGCTGCGTTCACATAAAAACTCATGAGCTTCTACCGTTGCTAAACATTCAAGCACTTTAACTCGTGAAGACAACAACAATTAAAGACATCACTGCTCAAAGTATAAACTTCCAAACTACCAACTTCCTCGAGCTCCTGCATTTTTATACAACACAAATAAAACCTCCACCTACAAAGTCATGATAATAAGAGGAGGTGGTTTCCATGGTCTCATGGTCAATATGAGACCATGAGTAAATCGGGAAGCATCAGGTGTAAAAAAGTAAAAAACCTTCCAAGCTGTTGTGCAAACTTTGAGTACTTGACAGTTTTTGATACTTGCTGCTCCAGATGTGGCACAAGTCATCCCAAACATACCATGCTTTATTCCAGATGTTTTGGGGTTTCTTGGTTTTATCTTGTTGTAAATATTTTACAGATGTCGAGAGAAAAAAAAAAAAAAAAAAACTTTTTGTATTTTGTGAGAAAGGGAAACATAAACACCGCGACAAAGGCCAGATGTCAGAACGCCTGGTGGATCAAACACATTAAACCAGTGGAGAGTTGTTGGTTGAAGTAACTGAAGCTCACTCTGGTCTGCATGTTTCTCTGCATGTGTGTGTTCTCAAAGTTGGCCTGATTTCATGATCTTGTTGCATGAACTAGTTTCCAGTTGGGGACCGATGATTTAGACAACCACCAACTGCAGGCTGGAAAATGACCACCAGGTATTTGCTGCAGAGCTGTAGGACTGTACTTTGAGGAGTGTATCATTCTATCCACCTGCTGTGGATCCCTTCATCGTTTCCCTCCTTTTTGTATATTCTTAAACATTTTCTCAAATTTGAACAACTTCTTTTTTGACTCATAAATTTTTTGGTTTGGCTTCTTTACATCCTTCACAACAAACAGCACAGTGAGTGAAACTACAGTCAACAACTGAAACACAAACTTGTACAGTCTTGTACATAAATATATACATATAGTATATTAATGTACATGTAATATACAGTGAGGTTCATGTCTGAACTCATGTTTTTGACCTAAACATCAGAGCAGCCTCTTAAAAAAATCCATTCAAACTGAGCTCATGTTGGACATTTGCAGTTTAAGATAATTAATAGTGTCAAAGTCCACATTCAAACAAAACAGGAGTGATACTGTAACAAAGATTAACTGATTTTTTTTCCAATGGAAATGATCAGTGTTGAGCTGCCACATTAACTCTTCAACTGTAACAATAAAATAAAGTAAAACGAGAGAGAGAGAGAGAGAGAGAGAACACCGACGCCACAGCATTTCTGGCTTTTCTCTTACAGGCTTAACACACATTTCACTACGGGGTCAAAGGTCGTGGCCAAAGCGTTAGTGATGCTACTGTCCTGTCACTGAAACATCTGATTCCAAACAGTGTCTGCCCTGCTGAAGTGTCAGTGAGCAAATGACTGGGCCCCTGCTGCTGGAATCAGACGCCCACACTTTAAACCTAAAGTTTACCAGGTCTCACCCGTCATTTAGTTTTGAAGTCTGTTATAAGCAGGTTACAGCTGTAACTAAAATATACCTGTTAGTCAAGTATTAAGGATATTAAGAGGATTAGGGCCTCATGTGGAAAAAAAACACTTTTTTTTTTTTTTTTAGAATTCTGACTTTAGTCTCAAAATTCTGAGAAAAAAAGTCAGAATTCTGAGTTTAAAATCAAAATTATAAAAAAAAAAAAAAAAAAAAAAAAATTTTGGTGCTCCTAATTCTCTTCCGTGGAAACATTATGTGTCCAAATTTACCACAAAGATTTCAGGCCATGGTCTACGACAGATGCTTAACAGCAGCCCAACAGTGGTCCGACTCCGGCTGACTGACGGCTTGTTGTGGATCTGTCCTAAGGCCCCGTCACCACCACTTTAACTAACTGAAGAGTTCTGCAGGAGTTTGTTCTGCTGTATGGATGAATTTAAAAAAAAAAATCCTTTAAGGAGTTTTTACCAACAGAAATATTACTTATTAGAAGTCTTACCACAAATAGTGAGAGTTACTAATGTGTCTCTGAAACCTTTTCCTTCATCAGTTCATTTAATGGACGGACTTCCTGCTGATTTAGCAAAAGTTTTCCATGTGAAACTGCACCAAATTCAAGTCCAACAACATGTAACATTATTTTTCTGATAAGTACCAAGGCCACTGCACACCTGATGTCTAGTGACTAAATAAAACGGTGTCATGTCCTCTCTGGTGTTGGGCTCTTGCACCAAACTACTTCCTGTGATTAGTTCTCCAGCCTCAGACTGTTGACCTGCTGGAGGGTGGTGGATGACCTCCAGCAGGTCTGTATGGCACCAATGATCAATTAAGGGCAGCACACAGCAGCAGCGCAGTACAACACACACGCTGCCGTCCTGTCACCTAGCAACAGAGCTCCAGAAAAGCAACACGTTTGTCAGCTCGATATTGGACACTGACGTTGACGATCTGTTGTGTGTGGCTCGCTCGTGGTCACCTTCACAGTACTGGGTAACACCTGTGAAGTCCCTCCTATAGATATCTGACAGGAAACAGCTGAAACTGTCCTTGTCAAGATAAGCTACAATAAAGACCAGCACCACAATCTGTGCACTGGAACAATCAACCTTTCAACAGAAAATAAACCTGCAACAACTATAAACTGTTACTAATTATTTTTCTAACTTTAACTGTCAAAAACGTTTCCTGGTTTCAGCTTCAGGCATTTTTTTCTTCTTTGGGATATTTTGGGATTTTGGAGTGCTGATCAGACAAAGCGAGCGAAGGTGCATCTTTAAAGGTTTTCCAACATTTTACAAGCAAAACAAATTGATTTGTCAAAAATGTGAAATGATTCATAACCTAAATCACAGTAATATTTCATCTTGAATGTCTGTAGCAGGAATTTTAAAGTGATAGTTCAGGTTATTTGACGTGGGGTTGTGTGAGGTACTTATCTATAGTCAGTGTGTTAGCTGCAGTAGATTCACATCAGCTCCCAGTTTAGAGAAGCAGCAGGGCAGGAGCCACCGGGGGGAGGGGGGGCGGGGGGTGTTCACGAGAAACTGCAGCATGTTTCTAACTATCTCACTTATTTTTACACCTGTTCTCCGTTTCGAGCAGAAGACAGGTGAGCCTCAGACGCTCCTGAATGCACACTTCCTGTCAGCTACAAGAGCAGAGAGAGGAGGGTGTGGGGGGTCAACATGGCTACTTCCTAAACCTATTTGAAACAGTGCCTCTTTCTACACGATGTGAAAACACAAACTAAATCAAGCCGACTGTGCTCGGTCCGTCTACGACTACAAATAAAAACACACTACACGTCTTGACGCAGACACTGGAATGGACAGGAAGCTCTGGACTGGACTGAACTGGACCCCCCCCTTCAGTATCCAAGGTCCAGCTGGATTTTGTGCTCAAAAATGGCAATGAGCAGCATGATGCAGAAGCCCAGCAGGATGCCAGCGTTCTGGAGCAGGAAGAAGCCCCAGTGGCTGAAGCCGTGGTCGCCGGCGTCATTATGCAACATCTCAGGCACCTGAACGGACAAAGAAGACACAACAGTTACAGGTTTGTTTCCACAACAGGAAATTTGAAAGTCACAACTGCAAAAACGTTTTCATTCCTCCCGACAGGCGACAGTCAGAGCCAGAGCCATGTTGTTCCTTGTGGACACGATATCTCAGTAACACCGTGACAGAACTTCTTCAAATTTGGCACAAACGTTCACTTGGAATCTAGGATGAACTGATTAGATTTTGGGGGTCAAAGGTCAAGGCCAGAGTGACCTCAGAAAACACTTTTTAGCCATTACTCAAGACTTCACACAGATGCGACTCTGGATAAACAGGAACCTGAAACTAGTCTGAGTGGAGGAGGCAGACGACCACCAGGAGGTGATTCTAGTTTTCTCATAGTTTGTAACCAACAGTCATGAGGAGGGAGAAACCAGGAGATTTTATTTAATCTAACTTTCTCTGCTTTTTTCCTTTTACTCCCCATCACCAACAACATTTATAATAGATTTTAACTCTTAAGTAACAACCAGTCCATCATTGACACTATATTTATTTATTCAGCTGTAATTGCAGACATAAAACACTGAAGATGAGACAGGTGCTACAAAGAACATCTTATATTCTCCTCCTATCCTCAGTAAGTGTATGGATAAGATAAAGATAAGATCAGCTGGTTCATGTCTGACTTTGGGAGGATGAGCACATCACAGCTCAAATCCCTTCACTGTAAGTCTTATTTAACCAGTGTTATTTTGTGATTATAATTTTTCATGGTGCACAGTGAGATCAGTCACAAACATGCAGGATGACTTCATGTGTCTGTGTCTGTTCATTAGTAGACAGAGCTTTTTAATATCATTTGTCCTTGTAGCTGATAAAGACTCTAATTAAGTCATGAAGTCGTTGCTGCTGCCTGAGAATTTACACTGAATAAGCATTTGAGAAAATGTCTAACCCAGAATCTGGATTTATTGACCGTGTCAGAGTGTCATTTGGATTTTGTGGAGGAAAATTAATATTTTAGATTAATCGACTATTCAATAAAATAATCGATTGATCAATTGTAAAAAAAAAAATAGCCGTGAGTGGCAGCTCTACTGTCAAATAAACCCAGCCGATTACACGTAGACTCCACTGTGGCCTTGCCTGTGATGGATTTAACTGGGCGCTGTGCAGGAGAGTGGCCACTAGAGGGCGGCCACAAGCTCAGCTGTGTTTTCAGACGGCAGCTGACGGTGACAGCTCACCTCTGCTGTGTTTGTTTCACCAAGACTAAGTGTGCTTGTGTATGTGTGTATGTGTGTGTGTGTGTGTGTGTGTGTGTGTGAGTGAGAGAAGAGGCCACCTGGTCCTGAAGGCTGCTGCTCTCAGGTTAAAGACATGTCGAGTTGACAGAACAGATGCAGCTGATGGATGATGAAGACCGTAACACACAGAGCAGAGTTTCACCTCTCCTCCCTCAGTGGGAAGGAGCTTAGCAAGTCAAGGGAATAATAAACCATCACAAATAAATCGGGCTCCACCTCACTATGATTTTTGTTTTCAATGTCCCACAATTCCACGTGTGATCAAGTTTTTTGATTCATCAACTGTTTAATTCACCAGCAGGTGTGGTTAGATTGATAGAGCCAGTTATCATTAACACACATAATTCTCCATGAGCAGTCTCTCTGTTGAATTTCAAGAAAACTTGTTGTATCATGAGATTTGATTCATGTTTTCAACTTAGTTTTACACATGGGCGACAATGTGCTCTGATACACAAAGCTGACTCTGCGTTTGTGCGCCTGTGACTTGGTAGTTTGTGCGAGGACCCTATTAAAAATGAGTCACCTTTTTGAGGCCTAAACATGCTCGAAAACTCATTGCACACACATCAGGCCTAGTGGAGATTTGTGTGTTTTATGGAAGTGGCGAAATGGATAGAGAATTTCAAAAATACAGCCCTTGTGTGTGTGTGTGTGTGTGTGTGCGTGTGTGTGTGTGTGTGTGTGTGAACCTATTACTGGCTGTAATGTTTATGTTAATGTAGGAGTGCAGGAGATGACACGCTGACTCACCATGTCCACCAAGGCCACATACATGAAGAGCCCGGCTGTGAGTGCGAATATCCATGTGGAGATGTTCTCCGCATAATGTCCGATCAAGATGCCCGTCACCATGCCCAAGTACGCCATCATGGCCGACAACACGTTATAGAGAATGGCCTGACGCACCGTCATGCCCGCCTTCAGCAGCACCGCAAAGTCACCTGGAAGAAATGACACGTTGATGTAAAGATTAATTTAGCTTTTAAAAGTGTCACATATAAATACATAAATATTATATTGAAGTAACAGTGGAGGTCTTACCCAACTCATGAGGCAGCTCGTGGCAGAAAACAGCCACAGATGTACTGAGACCACTGGACAGACCCTCAGTGAAAGCAGCTCCTGCAGAACGACAGAACAGACCAATTGTAATGTTTTAATATAATACTGGTCAGTTAGGCTCTAAAATGCACATCAGTGTGTTTCTCTTCTGCCTTTAAAGGTTTTTTATGTAACATTCAGAAAACCCTTATATGTACTGCAGTCAACTTTCGGTTGGACGTATCCGCTGGAACACGCATACAGCGTGCTCTCATGTGCACCGCGAATGGCAGGCACACAGAGAGGGGCACTGAAGAGACTGGCAGCCCACTGATGCAGCAGCCCGCCAGGATTTCCCATAGAAAATTTAAAACATACAATCCCTTGGCTGTGTTTCACCTATGTGTATGAAATTCGTTAGGCACATGTAACATGCCAAGACTTACAAAAAAGCCTCTTGCACCCATAGTCTAAAGCCAACAAGAAGTTAACTGGGTGTTCCACTTTAACAAACTCCTCCTAGAGAATTCATCAGATCGACATCACATTTGGTCAATCTAATCTTAAGATGTTTGTGATGCTAAATTGCAAAGCTTTTGAGTTTTGGTTTAGTGGCCTGCCTGTGGCGTCGGGCGAATTTCGATGATTCCAGGGGTGATAGTAAAAAAAAATCCTGAGCCTGAACTTTTTTCCCTGGGAGGTAAGCGGGCCCCGAAGCTAAGATATATGCCCCGATCAACGCAATTGTCAAGCGGGATACAGGGGTGTGCTCCCCCGGGACATTTCGATAAATAGTCCACTGAATTAAATATTCTGATGACTTTTGTGGATACAAATGTACATTATTCAGACATGAGATGAACAAACCCAATACAAGCCTATATTACAGTAGTATCTTTGTGTAGAGCACCAGAGCTCTTGGGACCCTGGGCCTGGTAGGCCTGTTCAGTAATCCATCCCTGCTTTTAACTAGTCACTTACCTGCGTACTTATTGCTTGTATAGCATACTGACACTACGGATACTACAGCCATACCAAGAAAGGTCAGTGAGTGACAATTATAATACTCAAAAGTAAACTAGGAATTGAATGAATGAATGAATGAATGAACATTGGATTTATATAGCGCTTTTCAAGATATCCAAAGCGCTTTTACAATGGAGGGGGGACCTCACTAACCACACTTTTCACACTGCCTGCATCCTCGTCATAAAATCGGACAAGTACATTTAAAATTTTATCCATGCTTTTGTCCGTGGCCTCATCAATGTTGAGTGAAAACATGTTATTCTCAAGCTTGTCAGACAGATTTCTTTTAAATTCTGGTGAGATGTGTGTAATAAGATAGCTTGCATGCTGCCTCGAGACAGACAGATGCGTAAGGGCGAGTTTACGCTAATTTCTGACACAAAGTGACGAGTGGATGAGCGATTGTAAACGATAGATCATACTTGGCAATGAAGGAGCACAAGCGAATTTTTAAATCAGCCACGCGATCGGTCATTGAGGATCGGATATCTGCTGTGGCTGTTGCCCCCGGCAAACGTGAGGTATGTTGAATTGCTCGTAAAGCTGCTTGATGACTAGTGTCGAACTCGTGCCGTGGCAGCACTTTGGTGTCTTCCCCTGGCTTCATAAAGTTGCACTCCATGACTTCAGCTATGTTTCGCGCTGCCAGTGTGGGAAACACATTCGTAGTGTATGGGAAACACAAAACACATTCGCACGTGGGGTGACTGCTGAATCAATCTGATTGGCCAAAACCCAAGACCACCCCCTACCCTATTACCGATTGGCTTAAGTAGGCTATGCCTACTGGTGCGGTTTAGAGTGAAAGCGCCTCTTGGATCTTGGGAATTGTCAGATCACACGAACGTGAACCTGATTTTTTTTTTCGCAAACACCTCGGTACACCGGAAATCCGGTGTGGCGCCGGAGCGCTATCAGCCCTGTGATTTGCCATGAAACAGGAAGTTGTTATAACGCCACTTATAACGCCACCACCGACACTTCACTAATACGTACCTTCATTACTCTGCTGAGACTGGGAAGCACTCCTTGACCGGCGGTGCAGAGCGTCAAACACATGGCACTCCTGATATTTAATGCCGTGCTGAGTCTACAAATGTTTCATGTTTGTTTTTGAAATTAAGCCACACTTCCTCGAATCTTTTGTTGTCATTTGTGCTGACTGCTTCTCGCAAAAGCGCGACGTCATTGTTTTGCAAGGCACGCGGAATGAAGTGAAAGGCGTCGATTAGGGAATCATCAAGCATAAAGGCAAATGATATTGATGGATCGAACCAGTCGGAACCAGTTCCAATTGAGAACTGGTTCCAACTGGTAGATTCCCATCCCTAACAATGACACATTTTACCTTTATCAAAAAATTGCAGCTTCTGCGATTTCGGTATTACTCTTGACCAAATTGTGATTTTGATTATATTTTGATTAATTGTGCAGCTCCAATAAAAAGTGATGAATTCATGTAAATTTCTTCACATTCTCACATATAGCACCTTTACTCTGGCGTTTTTGGGCACTGGAGGTATCAACACACCACCAACATCTCTTCTACCCACCACAGGCTTTTTACATCTGAGGCTGATGTGACCGTTTAGTCACTTCCTGTGTTGATGTGAAAGAGTTTCTTCAGAGGAAATATCATCTCTTCTGTCTTTGACTTCTGATAAGGAAACAACATCATGCCGTGTGTTCAGCTAAAACTAAAACAACCCTGCTGTGCCCGTTTGTGGAAATGGGCTGTCCGTTCCTGCAGACTATCATGTGACTGATTAGAAACAGCTTGGTTCCTGTGATTGGATTGGTGATGGCTGTGTTGTGAAGTAATGTAACTTACTGACAGTAAACTGAGGATTCCTAATGAGGAGTCACTTACAGCCCCGACAGTCACACCTACTCACCGATGGCCAGGCCATCGCTGAAGTTGTGCAGTCCATCTCCCATGATGACCATCCAGGCGAGCGTGGCCACGCCGGCCTGCTGGAAGTGCTGTTCTGAGTAGGAGTGGGAGTGGCTGTGCGGGTGGTGGTTCTGGGAGTGGTGGTGATGCAGGATGTGGTGGTAGTCGTGGTGGTGGTGGTGCATGCTGTCAGCCTGGCCCACTGTATCGTGGAAGTGGGAGTGGCATTTGTTCTCGCAGTCCTCGGCGGTGTAGGCGGTGGCGCCTGACGATCGGCTGTAACCCTGTGGCGAGACGACGGACACCTGCGGTGCCAGCATCACCTGCTCCTCCTCCGCCACGCTTCCGCCGTGCAGGCTGCTGGAGTGGTCGCCAAATGCACCGGCGCCGTTAGTCTCCACGTCTGAAGAAAGAAGACACATTTATTCTAACTGGTGAAATTTGGAAAGACAGCTGACAGCTGATTTCATTGATGATGTCACAGAAACAGATCACCTGAACAGACAAGTAAGTTTGTCCTGGAGTTGAACAAAACTACTGGAGGAAAAAAGGTGAATTGACCTCTTACCTGTACCTCGGTACCTCAACCTTTATGAACTCAAACATATCTTTAATGTGTCTTGTTGTATGTCCAACATAATCACCAACACCAATATTTCTGCAATAAGCTGATATAGATTGATACATTGCCTCAGCAGTGATTCTTTATTACACAACAAAAACCAAAATCACTGGGTGAAAACAGTTGATACAACTTTGTTATTTTAATTTTACAACAAAGGAGGGTCTCAGACTTGGCTCCACCTGTATTTACTCTCAGCTGTGCTCTGAGCTGAACTCAGACATTTTGGACAATGTCATGGTTTAGTAAAGCTAAAGAAGGTTCCAGGTTTGCTGGGACGTGTTTTCCCCTTTATGTTGTGTCTTACCCTCAGGCGGCTTCAGGTCAGTCTCCTCCAGAGCAGGCTGCTTCTCTGGATCTGCTTTGTCGTTCTGATCCCATTTCTTCTGGATCTGTTTGGACAGAACAACACCTTGTTTTTAATTCTTGATTTGGCACTGACTTAAATCTCAGAACTGCTCTCCACTTCTGACCATCAGGCAGAACTCTGCCATCTGTCCAAACTGAAGGTGACTCTGCATTTCCTGCCTGAGGAAATCAGCTGTGATGAATCGCTGCCCAGGTCTAAATATAGGCTCAAAACACATTTGTAAAAAGCTTCTTTAATTCTAGACTTTGATGCGTTCTTTATTTGAACCTGTTTTCTTTTTTCTGTTTATTAATTTTATTGTTTTAACAAACATATTTGTAATTTGTCTCCCTGTTGTACTTGTCTTGCTAACTGACACTTCACCTCTTTTCCCCTTTATTGCTTTGTTCTGTTTCTATGTATGACCTCCATATAAACCTCACGTTTCGGTGAGTTTTCAGAATCCAGAAGAATTCATTAGACCTCATCTCTCTCTGAACGAGTCGAGTGTGAATCTCTGAGCAGGTGAAAAGAAAAACACCTTGTGCAGGAAAAATCACATGGTGAATGTTCACCAATGTACTACCAGACATTTATAATGTTGCATAAATCACAAAATAATAATTTTACATATAAAACATCTCTTAAAAGGATTTGAAAAAAGGGAAAAGCCGTAAATGGTGTTTTTTTCTTTTAGTTTAGGAACGTAGGTAATTACAACAATGAACAGTCAGAGCAAATATAGTGATTCATAATCTTGTTGACTTATTCTTTCATCATTTAATTAAATTTACATCATACTTATTTAAACAGTTTAAGTTCTTGTTCAGACAATATTTAACATTTCAGAACTATGGTCTGCTTTTACTGCATGAAAGAACAAAAAAAGAAACAGCCCTCTGTTTGATAATCTGTGTATTCTCATATCACAAATCATTCAATTAACTTTTGCCATGATTATTTATTCCATTCAAAACCTGAATGTGGGGCGCCTCAGCGGCTCACCTGGTAGAACACGTACCACATGGATTTGGTCCTGGCCACAGCGGCCGACCCACGTCCCTTTGCTGCATGTCATCCCCTCTCTCTCCCTGACTTTCCTGTCTATTTGTCATTGTACTATCAAAAATAAAGGCAAAATGCCGAAAAATATAACTTTAAAAAAAATAAATAAATAAAGAATTAAGATTAATTAAGATTGATTAAGTTCACAGATCTGGAAGAAAGGGTAATAAGATGTGATTTTTACCACCTCACATCTGTTTTAATGACTCAAACGTCTGATGAATGTCTGACCTTTTGTTTCTTGTCCTTGTACATTTTTCCCAGCGTCAGGAAGTGTTCGATGAGAAACATGAAGTAGACTCCGGCCAGAGCCGTCAGTCCTTTCCACACGCCGTCCAGGTTTTCGTCTTGCTCATCGTGGGCGTGATGTCCCTCCATATTCATCCCAGAATCCTCGTGGTGGTGATGGTGGCCTCCCTGAGACTGAAGCATCAGCAGATACAAACAGCAGTGAAACGAGTGAAACACACTGATCACCAATGCTGAGCAGTTCTTCAACCTTACACTGAAGCTGCAACCAACAGACAGTTAGCATAGCTTAGCATAAAGACTGGGGGAAGCAGCTAGCCTGGCTCTGTCCTCTTCCTCCCCTTTTTTTTAAATCCGTCCTATAACCAAAGTGTAAAAATGACTCGCTGTAGTTTGAATTCAAGAATTTGAAAATGAGTCTACAACTTAAAGTCTTTGATGTTTTATTTCAACTATTTCAAAAATGGAAGTAAAAGCAAAAGTGGATATTTTTGTTCAGTCTACATGCAGGGTTTATATGCCTCCCACATGGTATTTAAAGAAGTCTAGTTGTGGTATCTGTGCTGAAACTCAAACTCCTACTGACAGTAGCATCTAATAATCCCTAATGACACCTGGTTCAAGCCTTGGTGTGCATGAACCACATCATCAACACATGCTGGGGGATGACTCACACAACGGACCTATCACTTGAAATTTGCACCAGCTGAGATGATAACACGAGCAACACACGATACATGATCTTTGTGGTTCAAGCGACTGTAACCTCAAACAACTGGGCGCCCGGCGCTGACTCACATGGGGGATGAGGTGAAGGAAGGCATCGCCGCTCAGCGTGCCGACAGCCAGCGCCACCAGGAAGCTGAGGAGGAACTTGAAGAAAACTCTGTTCATGAGCGGGATGAGGACGATGCCGAGGAGCGAGAGCAGGCTGATGATCGTGATGGAGACGAAGCCACCGACCCACGCTGCAACACACACATCACACTCCTTTAATCTCACTAAGGCTTCTTCAGATATCAAGTTACACATGTGAATATTATGTGAAAAAGGACCTGAGACAAGACCAGAGATTAAGTAAAATAAAGTCCTTTACCTGTTGCAATGTTCTTGCCACTCTCTCCACCCGTGCGCTCGCTGTGGTCGGAGTGGTTGTGGTCACCATGGTGACTGTGAGCATGTTTATGATGTTTATGATCTAGAAACAGATTAAATGAATCCAGTTTAATCACATCAAACTACAAAACTGCTATGAAAATTAACTGCAAATAAAACCGATTATATAAATCAAACAAAAACCTAGAATCACCTCCTGGTGATCGTCTGCCTCCTCCACTCAGACTAGTTTCAAGTTACATCCCTGTTTATCCAGAGTCAGAGAAAATATGAACCATCTGTGTGAAATTTGGTCACAATTGCTGTGAAGTCCTGAGTAATGGCTAAAAAGTGTTTTGTACTCATCTGTGAGTCCCAGTGAACGTTTGTGCCAAATGTGAAGGGATTCCCTTTAGGAGTTCTCGAGATAATGCTTTCATAAGGCCAAAATCATATTTTGTGAGGTCACATTGACCTTGGCCTTTGTCCTTTAAAATCTAATCAGTTTGTCCTTGAGTCCCATTGAATGTTTGTGCCAAATTTGAAGAAATTCCATCAAGGTGTTACTGAGACACTGTGTGCACAAGAATGGGAGGGATGGACGAACAACCTGAAAACAATATCATTGTAGCATCATCGCATTATCTTTCACTGTCGCCGGCGCAGACGCATAAAAAGCAGCAGCATTCTCAGCCTTAGTCAGTGTGGCAGGGTGTGACCAGTGAAAACAGGTATAACTGGATAGGCAAAGTGCTCCTGAACACACCAGACGCATCAGCGTGTGAGTAAACAGGAGGTAATCCTCATCATAGACAGGTCAGACATGAAATATGTTCAAGGAAATTCAGTCTGAGAAACAGATCCACATGTTGGAAGATTAATCAGGCTCCTTCATCCCTGAGCTGTCACAGCACCGAAGAGGGTGAAAATTGACATGTTTATGCGGGTGTTGTGTTCACATCAAGGCTGATAAAAACCTGCGCGTAGTCAAGTGACTCTGAATGCAGACTGTATCCTCTCCCATTATTGTTAGCATTGTCTGAGCAGGTTTTTTCAGGTTTTCACTCCTCTGAGAACGTATCGTGATCTTAATTGATCAATGTGACGGTTGTGAGGTCTGGACTCTGTGCCGGCGACAGTCAGAGCCAGATGAATATTGTTGTCAGGTTGTTCGTCCATCCCATTCTCATCGACACGATATCTCAGTAACGCTTAGACGGAACATCTTCAAATTTGGTGAAAACATTCACTTGGACTCAAGGATGAACTGATTAGACTTTCAGTCTAAGGTCAAAGGTCAAGATCATGGTCACCTCAGAAAACAATCAGTGATCTGTGGATCTATCTAGGGATTCTAGTTTGTTTTTTCTGTTGGGTTTTTTTTCCGTGTTGCAGCCAAAGACTTATCATTTAGTCTATGACGAGTCAAAAATTACTTTCCGACGACCCCTGACACAGCCGCTGCATGCCAGAGCCTCACTCAGATGACTAACAGCGTTTTAACATTTCCCTGCCTGTCTGACATGTTAATAGACGTCTGGCTGGTCAGCTGCTTCCTACCTCTCTCGCCATGCTCAGAGGCATCTTCGTGCAGGATGCATGCTCTGAAATCGATCTGGTTGAGGAGGGCGGGGCAGAGGAGGCTGAAGTCTCCGAGGGTCACACCCACATCCTGAGACATCCCGTGAGAGGAGAGGATGCTGGAGACGTTCAGACACTAAGGATAACACACAAAAAAAATATGTAAATACACTACAACAGATTGTGAATGGATTTGCACATCTCTGACATTTAACCAACTATTCACACTTTCAGCTGTTCAGCTTATTTTCAGGTTGGAGCTACAGGTCGTAAATAGGGATGCCAACGATACCAGTCATCTGTGAGTGGCTGATATTGATCAGATCAGACTTATCAGATTCATTATTTCTGTTTGCAACAGAGTCTCATAGAAGGCTTTAAATGGATCATGAAGTAATACATTAAAGAAAGAATTGAAAAAAAAAAGAAAAAAAGAAAATCGCTAATAATGATCAGTGGCCGATCAATCAGGGCATCCCTAGTTGTGAACATTAAAAACACCTTTGAGTCAGAGTTATTTTAGCCCGTAGTTACTTGCTTATGTTGAAAGATAAAACTAACAAGATTCAATATTGACAGGATTTAAACTCGATATGATTCTGTCAAACCCCCGTCCACGGTCGTCTCATATTAGGAGCAGTACACTTTGTTTGGAGTTGGTTTGAAAACTCAGGGACTGAACTGGAACAGCTAGAGAGAGCTAATGTCTTACCTCTACACTCTCCAGGCTTCGGTTCATATGGCCGTGATCATGACTGAAGCTGTGGTCGTCGTGGTTGTGATCGTGTTCGTCGTGGTTGTGACCGTGGTCGTCGTGGTTGTGATCGTGTGCGTCGTGGTTGTGACCGTAGTCGTCGTGGTTGTGATCGTGTTCGTCGTGGTTGTGACCGTGGTCGTCGTGGTTGTGACCGTGGTCGTCGTGGTTGTGACCGTGGTCGTCGTGGATGTGATCGTGTTCGTCGTGGTTGTGACCGTGGTCGTCGTGGTTGTGATTGTGTTCGTCGTGGTTATGATCGTGGTCGTCGTGGTCGTGATTGTGGTCGTCGTGGTTGTGATTGTGGAGGTCGTGGTCGTGGTCGTGGTTGCGATCGTCCCCCTGGCTGACAGCAGCTGCTTGTGTCTGGCTCTCCGTGTCTGCTCTGGCAGAGGTCATAGCGGTGGTTTCCTCGCCTGCAGGACTGGGCTGCACCAGGCTGCCGTTTTGTCTATTATGGGCTTCATCAGGTTTCACCGCCAGCTGAGCGCTGTACACAGGCGTAGTCCCGACCTGAGCTGCTGCCGCCGCCTTCTTGTCAAAAAGGTTGTGACGGCTCTCCAGGTTCTCCGTTTTCTTCCCCTGCGTGGCGTCTTGATTTTCGGAGGCCTTGGGAAACTTCCTGGGCTGTGAGGGTTCGGTGCGGATGTGTTTCTGGTGATGCGAGTCGTTGTTGTCGTGGTGATGGTGGTGGTGGTGGTGGTGATGGTGGTGGTCATGGTGGCCTGGCTGCTCGTGATGCTGCACCATCACAGTCCTGATGCGATCCAGCCCCACGTTCTGTAAGAGCCGCTTCAACCCGGCCAGAGAGATGGTGCCGTTTTCTCCATATCTACAAGATCAATAAAACATCTCAAGTAATGTTTGACAATAACACTGACACAATGATCATCCATCACTTGAAGAATGTGAAGAAATAAATAAATAAATAAATAAATTGCTTTTTACTTAAAAAACACATTTATTACCCAGCTATTTTTATTTCACTACGTTATAAATTCATAAATTCATGAGGTTAGGAAGATCAGCTCTACCTGCGATCAAGACAGAGCAGAGGAGCAGAATCACTTGTTCTTTTTCCCTATAAGATTCGTGTAGACTGGGTCACCACCTGCACTGACCTGGATTTATTCTCACAGTGAAAGTTTTTTTTCTTTTTTTCCTTTTTATTATTTTTTTTTCTTTTGGTCTCTATAGGTACGACACGCTGGAACGCCTCGTCCTGCCTCTTGTTCAGTTTTTTGTTTTTGTTATTAAATAGTTTGGTATCTAATTTTAATGGTGAAAAGTTTCTTTCTGTTTTTTGATTTTGTTATGAATTGACTTGTAGTGAGTTAGGGGTGGGCGATATGACGATATTAGATCGTGAAGGATTACAACGTGAAGACGATCTTTCAAACTGCAGAGATCGTGGGATCGTCTAGGGCACATTCTATAAATTGCAGTTCTATGCTGATGCACTGACGCACCAGACGTATTGACGTCGTCAACCTGACCGACCAATCATAGCAAATTACGGGCAGTGACGCGCTTTCCTACCCGCCTCCTTGTTTGTGTGTGTAGCGGTAGCACATGGAGAGCGACGGCTGAAAGCCAAACACAGTTGGTCGCTAAAAAAATTCCACCTCCATTATATGGAATTGGTTTGGATTTTCCGCAACTGATCAAGTGCAAGCAAATGTAATTTGCAAAGTTTGCACAGAAACCGTTCGCACGTCAGGTGGTAACACGACGAACCAGAATGTTGTTGTTGTTTACCTTAAACTTTACGTTGTTTGCACATGCAGGCAAAACTGCGACTATTTGAAATAAAATCTGTTAAGAAAGGTTCTTTGGTCTAAATTGTCTGTTTTTCTTTTTCCAATTTAAGATCGTGATAAAATCGAAATCGTGATTTTATTTTTAAAAAATCGTGATATGATATTTTTGCCATATTGCCCACCCCTATAGTGAGTGTTGTCGTTTCACATACTGTTATGAGGGGAGGGGAGCTGTAATAAGCTGTAGCTTCAGCTGACACCTTTTTTTTAACAATATTGGTGTTTTATTTCTGTTTATTTACTATGTATAAATATTAACAAAGACTGAAATTAAATGAAACTGAACTGAATCCACATTTTTTCAGCATTAATGACCAGTCACCTAACGGCTAACAGCTAAAAGGGCAGTTTCCATTCCTTTTAACCTTTGTAATGCCTGAATAAACATATTTAGAACCCTGACACTCTGAAACTCTCCCCCGACCCAAATTAGACACTTTAAATCTCTTCTTAAAACACACTTCTCGGTCTCAGCCTTTGGTAATGTCTGATACATGTTTTTTTCATATTATTTTATCCCTTATTATTGTTTTTACATATTTTATTACTTACTGTCAGATCTTTTTGCATAATGTTGGTGTAACCAACATGGATTTTAGGGCTACAAAACCCATATATGTGGTTTAGATGTGTAATTACATGTTGTTCCCACAAGGGGGCGCTTATGCACCTGTTACTTTGAGGTGGCTATATGACCTCAACCCCAGCCCCTTGAGCAGCATTCGTTCTCAGAGTCTGAGGATGACTCACCCTGCGGCCCTATCCAGTCGCCTGTCACTCCTGTGGGAAAAATTGTGAAAGTGTATGAAATCCCAAAGAGACAGCCACCCACTATAACTCCAGCAGTGAAGGATAAATGCCTACCAGCCGGGCCAACGACCTCCTTGGCCTCCCTGCCTCAGGAGGAGCCTGAGCAGGTCAATTCCCCTGTGTTGCCTGTGGGATTTGTTGGAACACCTCCTGAGACAGTCGAAGGAGAGGAGCCAGACACTGTGGATGAGCAAATTACTGCTGGAGAGGATATGATCTTACCGGATATGACAAACAAAACTCCAGCTGATGCTGAGAATGACAATGATGTAATCTCTACGCATCAAGAGGATTCTGAGAATGGAGAATCTGTTGGAGCTCAACAAAATGATGAGCTGAGCAATGCACCAACCTCTGAGACCATTGATAAGGAAAAAGAAAGTGGAAACGAAACTGGTACAGAACCAAGTGACTTTACACGAAGATGTGAGAGGTTCCGGCGATCGCCTGACCGTTTCCACTATTCTCAGTTGGGGAAACCCTTTATTTCCTTTGCAAAGTCTCATAGAGAGCTTTAATCAAGCACTCAACATTATTGGTGACTATGAAAGTTCTCCTTTGAACCCTAGAGCAGAGCATGAAGGGACTCATGCAGGGTCAAGGGGGGAGGGTGTAACCCACATGGATTTTAGGGCTACAAAACCCATATATGTGGTTTAGAGGTGTAATTACATGCTGTTCCCACAAGGGGGCGCTTATACACTGATGCACCTGTTACTTTGAGGTGGCTACATGACCTCTTCTTTTTTCACTGCAGCAGCTCTCTCAACACCACAGATGTACGAGCATGCGGACAACAAATAAGCAATTCATGGTATGAAACACCGCAAAATAGTCACCAAAGTCGATTAATGTCCATGTAGCAATGCTAATAAGGTGCTCTTTCAATAGAAGTCCAACTGTGAGCGAGAGGGAAACAGCTTCTGTCCAGTTATTATTGTGGAGAAACTCCGTTGAGTTGCCACAATGTATGCTAGCTTTTTGTTGTTAGCATTGCGTAAGAAGTTGCATTAAAATTGCAGTTGAGTCAAGATATTTCTCATAAAAACCAACCGGTGATTGTGACATGTGGTTGAATGTTTATTAAATGCTTCAGTGCAACTGTATCATTATATTTATGATCTGAAAAGATTGCTAGTGGCCTGGCCGTACATTAAAGAGCTCTGTTCCTGGTTGGTATCACTAAAGTACGCACAAGTCCTTACCACCCCAGGGGAAAACCCGGTTGAGAGGTTCAACCGAACCCTTCTTGGCATGTTAGGAACGTTGACAGAAAAAGAGAAAAAGTCACTGGCGTGACTATGTAAAGCCCCTAACTCATGCCTACAATGCACCAAAAACGAGGTCACTGGCTTCAGCCCTTATGAGTTGATGTTTGGGCACCAGCCAAGGCTACCAGTTGATATTGCATTCAGCTTACCTGTCAAGGGCCGTGCTCCCAAATCTCATTCCCAGTACGTGAGGAACCTGAAGGCCAGCCCAACGAGAGTTATCAGATTGCAATCAAGAACTCGCAAAAGGTTGCTGAAGACGAAATAAACGTTGTTTCGACAAAAAGGTGAGAGAGTCAACTCTAGCGGAAGGTGACCAAGTGTTAGTAAGGAACTTGCGGCTACGAAACAAACACAAGCTTGAGGATAAGTGGGAATCACCGATGTATAAGGTCCTGGAGAAAAAAGGAGACCTACCAGTGTACACAGTGCAGCCCATGAATGGAGATGGTCCATCCAAACCCTGTATAGGGATCTCCTACTACCTTGTGGTGATCTATCTGAGGCAGAGGAAACTGAACAGGCCAAACCAAAAGTCCTGCGGCCAAAGACTAGGCGTATTCAACCCCAGCCCCTTGAGCAGCATTCGTTCTCAGAGTCTGAGGATGACTCACTCTGCGGCCCTATCCAGTCGCCTGTCACTCCTGTGGGAAAAATTGTGAAAGTGTATGAAATCCCAAAGAGACAGCCACCCACTATAACTCCAGCAGTGAAGGATAAATGCCTACCAGCCAGGCCAACGACCTCCTTGGCCTCCCTGCCTCAGGAGGAGCCTGATCAAGTCAATTCCCCTGTGTTGCCTGTGGGATTTGTTGGAACACCTCCTGAGACAGTCGAAGGAGAGGAGCCAGACGCTGTGGATGAGCAAATTACTGCTGGAGAGGTACGATCTTACCGATATGACAACAAAACTCCAGCTGATGCTGAGAATGACAATGATGTAATCTCTACGCATCAAGAGGATTCTGAGAATGGAGAATCTGTTGGAGCTCAACAAAATGATGAGCTGAGCAATGCACCAACCTCTGAGACCATTGATAAGGAAAAAGAAAGTGGAAACAAAACTGGTACAGAACCAAGTGACTTTACACGAAGATGTGAGAGGTTCCGGCGATCGCCTGACCGTTTCCACTATTCTCAGTTGGGGAAACCCTTTATTTCCTTTGCACAGAGTCTCATAGAGAGCTTTAATCAAGCACTCAACATTATTGGTGACTATGAAAGTTCTCCTTTGAACCCTAGAGCAGAGCATGAAGGGACTCATGCAGGGTCAAGGGGGGAGGGTGTAACCCACATGGATTTTAGGGCTACAAAACCCATATATGTGGTTTAGAGGTGTAATTGCATGCTGTTCCCACAAGGGGGCGCTTATACACTGATGCACCTGTTGCTTTGAGGTGCTACGTGACCTCCTTTTTTCACTGCAGCAGCTCTCTCAACACCGCAGATGTACGAGCATGCGGACAACAAATAAGCAATTCCTGGTATGAAACACCGCAAAATAGTCTCAAAGTCAGATTAATGTCCATGTAACAATGCTAATAAGATGCTCTTTCAATAGAAGTCCAACTGTGAGGCGAGAGGGAAACAGCTTCTGTCCAGTTATTATTGTTGAGAAACTCCGGTGAGTTGCCACAGTGTATGCTAGCTTTTTGTTGTTAGCATTGTGTAAAAAGTTGCATTAAAACTGCAGTTGAGTCAAGATATTTCTAATAAAAACCAACCGGTGATTGTGACATTGGTTGAATGTTTATTAAATGCTTCGGTGCAACTGTATCATTATATTTAATGATCTGAAAAGATCGCTAGCGGCTAAGCAAATAACTGCTAACGGATAAGCTAATTGCTAGCTCTGGTTAATGGAGTGACTAACACGGTGTCTAAACTTTAAAGGACAATTACGCTGTTTTCTAACAATACCATCATTAGGC